GCTCTGCGCATGCGCCCGGTGCGGGGCGTGTCTGCGGCGCCCGTTGAGCGTTCGTTACAGGGGTTGGAGGGGAGCTGTGGCCGCGCAACGCCCCGCTTCGGTCGTCTCGGAAGCTGTGAGTCTGGAAGTTAAAGAGCGGCGTTAATGTTCGCCTCTGAAATGCTTAAGTGACTTCCCTGCCGTCTGCCGGCAAGCTCTGCGTTCATTTCTCTCAAACGGGGTTTGAAGGGAGTTAACCATCTGTGAAGAAAAAGGGTTGTGATTCTGTTACCTGAACTGAAATGGGGCTTCACAAGATACGTCTAAAAGCGCAGTGAAAGTTGGGACTGCAGATTTTCGGTTTTTTAGTCCCTGCTCTGCTACTCACTCTTAGCAGTCTTTTACATGTATTAATGTTTCAGGCACAGTAGCTCTCCCCCTGCTTTTTGTATTATGGCATATCTCTTACGGAAACTGGCAAAATCTTGCAGACTGTAGTTGTTAGTTTTAGATGCAGCAACTCTGGCCTGGTAGATGAGATGATGGCTTTCCACGCTCTGTTCTACTGATATTCTGTCAGAGCTGATTTTACACAGGCTCGCAGTTTCATCTCTATGAATGATAGAAATGGGATTTGATTTCTACTTAGTGTAAAAATAGTTCAGGAGAAAGGTTTGTAAAGTTAGAGCACGTGTAAAGTTCTGGATTTCTTGGCATCGCTAAATCAAATAGTATTTTGAGCAGAAGAGACCTGTAGTATTTGAAATTGCATATACTATGAATTGATTTGATTGAATTAGAGGTAGGCAACTATGTTGTTTGTGAAGTAGCACTATAACTGGTGCTGTTCAGTCCTGGAGATATTCAGAAGCCGTCTCAACAGTGTCCTGGGCAGCCTGCCCTAGGTGACCCTGTTTGAGCAGGACGGTTGCACTAGGTGATCTGCAGAGGTCCCTTCCAACCTCAACCATTCTGTGAACTATGCGTTTTCTCGTTGTTTAATTGTGGTTATGCACTTAAACCATGAACGAGATGATTAAATCTACTTATTAGAACAATAGCTGAGGTGTGGTTTGTGTGTAGGTTTTTAAATCAAATTCATTATCATATAATGGAGTGGTATACAACCATTTCCTCAGAGGTTTTATTTTTAGGGGTTTTAATATGCAAAAAATATTCTTTGAAAATCAGTAGACTGAAATAAGCATTGAATCTTGATGAGTGATCTAACTGTTGTCAGTAGAACAACTGACAACGCTTTTTGTATAAAACACAATGTCGGTTCCTACTGTCTTTCTCAATTTATCTTTAGGCGTGGGTACACAAATGGATGCAGAGAGACCCTTGCTCCAAGCTTATTGGATATAAACCATCCCTGTCAGCGAAAGGAGATAGCACCAGCAAAGTACCAAGCGACTGTGTCTCATTTCTGAGCCAGAGCTGCTTTGCAGCTGCCTGAAGAGGAACAGAGCTAGGTTGCAGCTCCCTGTGCCTGTCAGTTTAGGCACATCCTTTCTGCGTTTACTGGAATTTGGTGGCAGGAGGTGTTTTTTGTTTTGTTTTTTAATATCCATTTCAAGAAGGGCAAAATATCTGTAATTTTCAGTTTGCTGCGTGCATTCGTTAGTTTAGCAGTATACTCTTAAAAAGGGTGTCGAGTAACTTTAAAGTTATTTCAGACTTCATTAGCTTAAACATTGCCAAGTGAGCATACTAATCCCCATAGATCAATTTCAAAACAGTAAGTATGGCATAAATCTTAGTGTTGCAGTAAATTCTTCGACAGCTAGGAAAATCAAACAGAAAAGCATCTGAATGCACCTTACCTTGAGTTATATACAGTACATATAACAGATTTGTAATGACTGTTACTCTTATTGCAGTTCCAAGAAATTATGATCCCATATTGCATCCTTTTGAGGTTCCACGGGAGTACACAAGAGCTCTGAATGCAACAAAGCTAGAACGTGTTTTTGCAAAACCCTTTCTTAGCTCGCTTGATGGCCATAGAGATGGAGTTAATTGCATGGCCAAACACCCAAAGAGTTTGTCTACAGTGCTTTCTGGAGCTTGTGATGGAGAGGTAAGCTGCAGTTACAAACCACGACAAACAAGGTCACTTTCTTCCCCTCTCTTTTTTTTTTTTTAATGCCCTCTTTTTATCTGTCTTTGTGTCTTTGTTCGGCTATCATACCGTAACTTCACTCAGAAGGGGCATCCTATCCAGTTTGGGACAGTGTTTCTCAAACTGCAGGTTGTGACCTGCTGGCATGGGATGAATGTCAAAAAGGTTTAGGAAGCAGTTCTCAGCTATACAGTTCCTCTAAGTTAAAGAGTGAGAAGGGGCTGTCATAGCTGCGGGTAAGTGCTTACACAAATCTAGAAACTTCTGGTAAGCTGTGAGTTGGAGGTAACATTCAGTTTCTTGACATAGAGCAATGAGTGTTAAAACTTGCGATCCCTATGGCTTTTTGCGTCCTTTCCCCCCCCCCCCTGCCCTTTGAAGTTGAACTGCTACAGATTCAGAAGATTACATAAAGTCAGATGAGCTAGGGGGGAGGGACACACTTTCAAAAACTTTGTGGAATAATAATTTCACTTCTTCCCTAAAAATGATAACCGTGTATCTGTGTGATATTTTAGATAATTATTACGAATAGCAAGCAAGGGTACTTTTTGTGGGCTTTACTTCATGAAGGGCTACGAAGATGATTAGGGGGCTGGAGCATCTCTCCTATGAAGAAAGGCTGAGAGAGCTGGGCCTGTTGAGCCTGGAGAAGAGAAGACTGAGAGGGGATCTCATCAATGTACAAGTATCTGAAGGGGGGGTGTCGAGAAGATGAGGCCAGTCTCTTCCCTGTGGTGCCCAGCGACAGGACAAGTGGGCAGAAACTGTGCAGTGGGCACAAATTGAAACACAGGCAGTTCCATCTGAACATGAGGAAAAACTTCTTGACTGCGAGGGTGACTGAGCCCTGGCACGGGTTGCCCAGAGGGGTTGTGGAGTCTCCTTTGCTGGAGATACTCAAAAGCCGCCTGGACGTGACCCTGGGCAATGGGCTCTAGAGGACCCTGCTTGAGCAGGGGGGTTGGACTAGATGATCTCCAGAGGTCCCTTCCAACCTTGGCCGTTCTGTGATGTGGAGGCAATTGCAGAAGAAAACCATTTATCTTCTCTGCCCTCCCTCACCCTTATGTTGTTGTACATTTGATAGTAATTGTATATTTTAAATGTGTCTTCTGGGTGTCCGCTTACTTTCCAGGATTTATAGAACATACATTCATCATACAGCAGCATAAGGGAGATTAACCTCTTAAAACAGGAGGAAAATGAATTTTGGGGTCATGGGAATAAGTGTATATGAAAGGTGGTTGAGATTTCTTATCCGCTGACAGAGCAGTAACAGTACTTACAAATGTGAAAACTGAGCTCCTCCATTTCTTTAATTTAAATGGCTCCAAATATTTTGGAGCAGAAATCCCTGTGAGGGGTAGACATACATCTAGGTTATAATACAGCAGCTGAAGTTGAAAACGTTGCATTGGTTGCAAAAGTTATTTTCTTGTGCCTTTTTCTTTAAGGGATGTCATTGCTAAAATTAACACTGCTGCTGTCTTCTAATAAGAATTCCAGATCAAAAATAAGGGAATGCAAAAATAATGTAAGTGTATAGTTTGGGGGAGGAAGGAGTAAAAAGCAAAGAGCTATATGTTTTTTGTTTGTTTGTTTATTTCAAGGAGATAATTAAGTGGTTTTAACATAAATCTGGCTAGTGTTCAAGCCAGCTGTGCCATTTTGTTATAATGTGTGTGCTCTCTTCTGCTTGAATTATGAACTGTAATTGTGGGCTGTAGAAAACTGAATTAAATAACAACAGAATACTTTTCCGTTTTTAACAGGTTAAAATTTGGAACTTGACCAAACGACAGTGTATTCGTACTTTACAAGCCCATGAAGGCTTTGTGCGAGGGATGTGTGCTCGTTTCTGTGGAACCTCGTTCTTTACTGTAAGTATAATATGTCTCCTTAGTACGCTCTAACAATACAGATCAGCTGTTGACCAGCTATTTTCTAGCAAGCAACTTACTGTAATCTCTCCTGTAGAATATTTAAATTTCAGTTATTTTTAGAATTTGAATGCATTTATTAAATTTGTCGTGTGAACCTGTCAATTCTGTTTCTGATGAACGTTTTTTTGGTGCTATGATACTTATGTTATTCAAGACTGTGAAAAGGATAAATACCGGGTAAATTGCAAAATGATGGTCATTTAATTAAATTTTAAGTTAGCTATTTAATGCAAGAGAGATAGATAGTCTATATTCATTGGAAGACATGTAGGTGGTTACTTCTGTAAGTGTTTGAATTCCCTGTGATTAAAGATGAACTAATTAATTTAAGATGGTTCCAACTGAGTAATTAAGCTCAATAAGGTTTTATTTAATAAAACTTTATTAGTTTGTATCAACTGCAACTGATTCAGTTACATGTAAACTGTTTGGAAATGGTATGTTTTCCTTTTTGCATTAAAACAATTCTAAGACGTTACAATAAAAACAATTGTGTTTGAAGATCAGAAAGTCCTCAGGTTTTGCTTCTTATGTGCTAAGCATATAAACCTATGTTAACTATTATACATTTATATTTTCTGAACTAGATACCAGGTCATGAGGGCAGTAGTTACGGTACAGGGGAAGTTGCAGCAGAATATTCTAAATGACACCAAATTAGAATCCCCTTTTGACATTCTGAAGAAAGAGAACTGATGCTGTCAGGAGAGGAAGTTGAACATGTATAGCTAACTTTTTTTTGGGCCAGATACAGTTTCCCTGATCCAGGTCATGGCACAGCCATGCAAAAACTTCTACTGGCATAATGTAAGAGGTAGCTTGGGGTTAGGAGCAGGCAACTGGAGCAACTCAGATGGAAAGTGCCTTTTAACAGTTTACATGCCCACCAAATGACTTCCAGAAGATGATTTGCAGTGTAGGATACTCTTTTTATTTAAGAATCATAAAATATAGGCTAAAAAAATAGCCGTTTTCTCATTTCACCTTTTTGTTATTCAACCCTGGAAGTATCTCTTTTGAAGAATGGAGAAGATCCAATGTAGCAACTAGATCAATTTTTTTTTCAAAATGTTTAAATAAAGCTTAAATAAATCTTCAGCACAGAAATTCTGCATGTGACGATCCAATTCAAGCAAAACTTATTTTAATACAGTCAGATACAAAAGGTGCTGGAGTAACGTGTGCAGACATGACTGTTTCAGACTGAAAATAAAATCTTCAGGGGGTACCTTACAAGTTTCTAGTAAAGTATGACAGTGAGAACTAATCCTCGGCTAAGAGGAATGAAACAGAACAGTGAACAGGCAAGAGAGAAGCACTCTTTTTATTATTAGTGTTATTAGAGAACACTTTTTTATTTTGAAAGATTGCCTCTTCTTAGTTGCAAAGCAAATTAATTCAAATAAGCAGAATAAATTCATGTAAAACTGTACATGCTGTCTGCAATATTTCCAGGTTGGTGATGACAAAACTGTGAAGCAATGGAAAATGGAGAGTCCAGGATATGGAGAAGAAGAAGAACCGATTCATACAATTCTTGGAAAGGTAGAAAACCTTAATTTTGATTTCCTACATCTATTCTTTTGAATTGTTTGACTCAATTCTTATTTGGCTTTGGAGGGGATAGAAATAGATTATTGTAATTGGTTATTGTAATGGGTTGTAAGGTGGTGGCATCAAATTTTATAATGGCACTTTAAAAATACCTTCAGCTTTTCATTATTTTTCATTTACACGTAACTAGAAAGGAATATCTCACATGTCATCAGAGACTGCTTCGGTCTGTCTTTAGCAATCGTTCCTTTCCTGGGGACTGGTCACATCTTTCTGTAGTGTATTCCTCTTCAGCTGCGTGCTTTCAGTGCTTGATCTGCATAAAATAATTCTGTTTTCATGCCAATACCTCACAGCCATTCAATACAAAACTTTGACTTTATTTTTAAAATTCCTAATTGCTATAAAATCAGCCATGACTTTGTCTGAAATGGTACTTTATCTGAAGTGTCAGCTGTCTAATGCTGACACTGTTGTAGATTAACAAATTTATGATGCAGGCATATAAATGAGCACGCAGAAAACTAGCCAATTGTATAAGGGTGCATCTAATAAGACTCAGTTTCCGGTGCCACTGGTGGCTCAGTTTTGAGATATATGAACAAACAAAAACATGGCAGACTCGATATGCAATGGTCTCTTGATCTTTTCTATAACAGGACATACATATATATATTTACGTAAACATTTGCTTTGGGTCTTTTTTTTTTTTTCTTCTAAAGACAGTGTATACAGGAATTGATCACCACTGGAAAGAAGCTGTTTTTGCCACCTGTGGCCAACAAGTGGACATTTGGGATGAACAAAGGACAAGTCCCATGTGTTCTCTGACATGGGGTTTTGATAGCATAAGCAGTGTAAAATTTAATCCAATTGAGGTAATGTTTGTGTTATGTATTGGAATATCAATATTTTTCTTGATTAGTGTAAAATCTAAACTGTATTAGTACTATCTTTAACTGCTTTTTCCCAAAGTAAATTTCTTTGTGTTCTAACATGATATGTAAGGGAGTGTGTGTGTGTGTGTGTGTGCATATCCACATGCACACACACGTGCATGCACGCACACACACACACACACACACATATGTACGTGCTTTGATAGATACCATGTATTTCTTTTTTTTTTTTTTTCTTTTAATGGGGGAAGGGAGAAAAAGAGGTAGGGTAGTCTCTTTTCTGCCCCACACCAGTATGTACCCTGTACTTCAATCATGTAACATAGTAGTTGTGTGGCTGTGGAGCTCTTATCTCGTCCTCTCCTGTAATTTTCTGTGACAAAGTCTTCTGCCATTCCACAACAAATAACTGAATCTGCTCTGATCTTCTACAGCAGTTCCTATATACCTGTTGAGTGAGTTGTGCTTGTGGGTTGAAGTAAAGTGTATATGAGCAGGTGCTTGTTACTTGTAGAGTAGAGAGGAGTGGGTGGATTCTGAATTTTACTGGGAAAGCTATTTAAAATGCTTGGGCTCAATAATTAACTGTACGCAAAGAATTGTGAATATATTTACTTAGGGGAACTATTTGACTGCAGGCTTAGTGAAACTGCTTAAATATGTGGGGAAAACTGCTTACCATCCTCTAGATGTGTTTAGAAGAGCATGCATAATAAAACACTGATGTGGGTAAAACCCTGATTTTTATTTATTTATCTATTTATTTATTTATTTTAGACATACCTTTTAGGAAGCTGTGCTTCTGACAGAAATATCGTGCTGTATGATATGAGACAATCAACTCCATTAAAGAAGGTAAATTTTTCTTCTTTTTAATCTGTTTTTTAGTAAAAGATTGTGGCAGTAGTAATGATACAGAATACAGAGATAGTCTGCTATAGTATTGATAGCATTGATGATGATAGAGAAAGGGAAGCTCTGAACTGTGGGTTCACTGAGTGTTCGTATTTTTTGAGTCTCTTAACTGAGCTTATTAACTTAATCTTGAGATTCAAACTAGAGTTAAAAAGGCCCTTTTCTATGTTCAAACCGGCTGTCATCCTCGCTCTGTTGTAATTCTTGATAAAGTGCCTGACCTGACAGCAATTTCACGATAAGAACTTTGTGTTCATTTAGTGCTTTGTGTCTGTGTATGTGTGACTTTTTTTTTCCCTTGCCAGAAGGAAGCAAGGTAACTTACAAGGCATTTGCTTTAGACCATTGGAGAGCCTTGCTCTGCATTTGAAAAAGTATTTTTTTTGTATGAAAATAATTCCTTCGTGAGCTACACTGTGTTAAGTGATATAATCTATGCACCTACTATACAAGTTTCAGAAATCCTTTGCAATGAAATGGAAATTATATACTATATCTTTCTGTGGTATTTAGCAGTAACATGAAAGTTCTTGCTCATCTTTAAGAGGATGTATGTATTTGTTTAAAGTGAGAAACCAATAATTTACATACAAGTATTAACAAGTGGGATCAAATTCATTGTTTCTTGAGCCCCACAACTGTCTTAACAATTCTGCTTCTTGAAGTATTGATATTCTGGCTTGCGAATATTCACTCAGTATCCTTCTGGTATGTTATATACTGTTTGCGATGACTGTAGGCTAGTATACACTGGAATGCTATAACGGCACTTAAAATAGTCATAAAATAGGACTGTTGTTGGCATAACAGTATTTCTTTCTTTCCCTGTGCACCAGCAATTTTTGATGAAGTTTCATTTGGGCCACTGAGACAGTGCTTTAAAAAAAGTCGTCGATAATGCTAATTTGAGGTGTGAATGCAGAAATGAATTTGGCCAGTGCTGTAGATAAGCAATTAGAAGTTAAAAGGATGTAGTTCGAGTACTTGTGAACTAAGTTTGAGTATAACTGAATGTTACACACACATACCCCGTATATAGATAGATTATATCTATAGATAGATATCTACATATCTCTCTCTCTCTATATCTATATATGTATATATATATATCATGTATGCCTGGTAAGCAGTGTGTGTAAGCACATTTCCTGCCATAGAAGCAAAACACTAATCAAAACTTCCTTGCATCTGCGGATACCGTAGCCTCTGCTGGGATTCTGCTGAGATGGGAACGATTGTTCTCTGCAGAGACACGTTGAATATCTGGCTGTGCATCGAAAGCTAAGATCTCAGTAATTCCCAAGAGAAGCATGGTGCTGACAGAGGCACCTTGCCCCTGGGGAGGCGCTGGATCCTAGTGCCGATGTGTTCTTGAAGAGCAATCGGCAAAGCAGCTCACACATTGCCCTGAGTTTGCAACTCAACAGGAGATCCTTCTTTAATGGAAATAAGAGTATAACTTGTGAAGCTAGCTCCCTTGCCTGCTTGTCCTGTCCATGAGTTTTGAAGTCTTAAGTTTAGGGGAGAGACAAATAAGATGGTGGAATGTTACATAAGTACAAAATAATGAATGATCTAAAAAAGTTGGAAAAAGATGAAGGGGAGCACTCCTATTCTATGACAAGAGGAAGACATTTAGTAAAAGACAGCACGTTTTAAAACCAAAAGTCATTCTTGTGCAACCTGTGGGATAACAGAAGGAAAGAGATTAGGGTGTTTTAAAGATGGACAACTTTAATATTTGTACAGCTGGCAGAAACTGTGTTGTCTCTTGCTTGAAATTTTAACCATGTAAGCTGTAAGATACCTTGCAGATAGTAAAGAAGGAGAGGTTAGTTATTTGGGCAGTCTGCTTTTATATTATAGAAATCTCAAAATGTCCAAGCCGACTCATTTTATTTTTCGTCTTAGCAAGTGCTTACAGTTGAAGTAAATAAACCAAGATAGCCAAATCTTCAAGGACTTCACAACTTTGACTTGTCCTAATAAGGACTACTTCTTGTGAAATGACAAGGTATATCTATAATTGATTAAAAATAGTGTCAGAAGATGGCTCTGCTAAAGATTTTAATAGTTCTAAAATGCCGCTATTAATGTATTTACAACAACTTAAATCACTTCAAACTCAGGCTGCTGTATGTAGCTATTACTGAATGTAATGCTAGAACTATAGAGAACATCCTTTTCTTAGGTGCTATTTTAAATGCAAATACTGCTGGTGAAATAAGCTGAACGCTATAGGCTTAAGCAAAAAAAAATGTGAAGGAAGAGGTAGAGCGTGGACTTTTAATAAACGTGACCCCTTTTGAAAGGGAGCTGGATTTTCCAGTAATATCAGAGTTATTTTTTGTCGTGATTTTAAGAATATATCATTCATGTAATATGTTTCAGTTACTCCTGTACTCATTTTGCAGAAGCTGGAAATCTTGGACGGGGAAGGTTAAAGAACCTTCCTTGATTGTTAGCTTCCCAGATGTATGTGCAGAGTTTATTAGAAGAACAACGCTGAAATGTGAAAAAATTCTAGTTATCATACTACCATAAACACAGAGCCTTTCAGTAGCCTATTTTCAGTAAAGTCACTTTTAAAAGTAGAAAACACTTCAGACATCTGATGATTGCATTCAGTTCTGTGTGCATATAACTTCTGGAAATGAGCAGTATTTTGCAGTGCAGACTTCATTTTGTATTGAACCTAGAAGTAGTAGCATCGTCTAGAAAATGAAGATTGGTAGAGAGCGAGAGACATGAGAATATGCACACGCTAATCAAGTCAACAATCCCTTTGGAGGGTGGATCAGTAGAGGTCATCGCTGTTAACTTGCTTTGAGACTTTGTTCATTATTTTAACTTTTAAATTTGCACAGGTATATTTTGTTAAATGCGTGTAAATGTATCATGTTTGGTATAGTGAGGTGAGAACAAAAATGGGATTTGAGTAGCATATGATTAAACACCAAACTTTCAGGTCTTTAATTTTGAGGTAGGATTATGGTTGGTCTGGAGTATTATGGAAAATTCTGCTTAGAGTTATTCTGTTTATTAATGAGTTGCTCTGTAATTATTCATCTACTTTGTGTCAGGCATCATGTATGGGAGTTATTTTTAAATACAATGGTTGAAAGCTCCAGGAGCTGCAAGAAGCCAAAGCTGTTGTGCCATTCTGGGTGCCAGAAGACTCCTCTTCCCACCCCAGTCGCCCGGCTGTTCTTGCCACTGGAGTCCTCCAAGTTGGGGGTATCCAGTATATGGCTTCCTAATACCTCTTGTCTCATCCACTGTTATTAAAGTGGAAGGGTCTTATTAAGGTAGTCATCAGCTACACTGCTCCTGCTTTAAGGCAAACTGGCCTCTTTGTAGCCATCTGCTTGCCAGGGGCAAGCAAGTCTTATGAGTGTGAAGGAACTAGTTCACTGCTAAGGTAGTGATGGTGGTGAGTAAATTACAAGATGGTAACTAATTCAGACGCTGCTTGGCACTTCTCAGAAAAAAATAAGAAATGGCACCTGGCCTAGAGAACTCATAAACTGTAATTTCTGCAATAAAATAACAAAGGGATGGCAAAAACTGGGAGAACATCAGAATGATATTGTTACTTTGCAAATGCTGGTTCATAGCCTTTGATGAAATAGATACTGTATAAACAAACAGACTCAATTAAAGACTCCTGTAAATATGATAGAGAAGTGAGATTTTTCTGGAGGTTCCAGGTTGGCACGTTACTTTTTGGTTAAAAGACAGCTTAGGAAGACTTTCTTCCAAAGCGGCTCATAGAGGAAAATTTAATTGCAGCATTGCACGAAGTAATGAGTATGTGATCAGGGACAGGAATTCTTGGGTTTTAATTCTAACACTGCTAAGGAAATGTTCTCTCGTGTATATCACTATGCCTCTGTCGCAATTCTTTATCTAGAAAGAAGGCGTTCACGTGTCTCTAGTGGAATAAGAAGCTTCCTATTTAAGGCATAGCCAGTGTTTTATTACCTATGACAAGGTAGCAATGTGTAAGTACCTTTCAGGTTATCTTGAAGATGAGGACAAATACATTGTGTTGGAACCCCATGGAAGCTTTCATTTTCACTGCAGCGAATGAAGACTACAAGTAAGTGCGATCCTGCTTTTTGATAGTCCTGATCATGTTTTTAATCTGTATCTTGGTGATTTATCAGCATTTTACAATATATTTTTAAAAAAGCTATTTAAACTTTCTAGATTTGAGTCACTTAAGTAATAATGTCTTAGAAAATTACAGACTCGTTGATTAAAAAATTTTTGGCAATAAGCTGCCTCTTTTTCTTGTATTCCAATGGGGATGGAGGGAAGCACTGTAATTTACAACAAAAAAATTAACCACTGTTTTGTTCTATCATAATAAAAAAAAAAATGCAGTTGAACTCATGCAAGCGTAGCTTGCCAAGGGACCGAGAAATTAATCACTATTCGTACAGCCTGAGGCAATATAAGTGTTTATTTTCTTGCCAGCTATTGTGAAGCTTAGTATATTGTACTGATCAGCTATTTTGATGGGAACATTTCTAAAAAAATTAATCTTTTGTGAAACAGTTCCAGAGACTGTAATACTTATCCTTCCAGTGTCTCAAAACACTTTTTTACTTCTGGACAATACTATTCATGTGAGCAGCTAATCTGATATTGGGAAAAGCTGCCCCTGAAACTAGGCCACTGCAAAATAGGCTCCATATCCTTTTTTCCAGGAAGCCAGTGATCTAGCAATAGATCACTGTTGTCTTCTAGAACTTAGGAATTTTGTCACTTATCTTAAGGCTTTTCTTCCAAAGAAATGGAATCTGCCCAGACCTTGAAAGCGGGTGTTGAATTTAATATACTACTTTTTGACTGTTTTGATTATGGTAAAGTAAGGCTACCTAAAGTGTTTGCTTATAGCTGATTTCTTGTTCCTTAGTAAACTAAAAATGGTAGCTGTTACTGTTAGTGGCAACTGCTCTCTTAAACTAAAGCAACTAGTATGAGTGCAATGGTAAGTGCATGTATCAACAACACCTGCAAGTGTTAGCTGATTAAAAGCATCTATTTTCTGAAGGAATACAGAAGGAAAAAGTAATAATTACCAGTTCACTCCTGTATAGAAAACATTGAGCTAACATCTTCTATATAAGTGCAGGTTAACTTCACCTCTTCTGCCTGAATTCTGCAGTGCTTAAGAGCAAGCCAGCTGTGGTTCATCAGCTGTGTGTCTATTTTTAATGTGATGCTTTTCTAAAGATGATATGCTCTACTGAACCAGTAGCTCCATGCGTTGAGGGATCAAGCTTTCCTTGGACTCCTGCAGACTCTCTGCTCAGCTGGCCTTCTTTAGAAGGAGAACCAACCACATGGGAACGTCACAGTAGACTTTGAGTTACTGAGAGATTCCAGTGTGGGAAGGTCTAGAAACCTTGCAGAGTTGATAGACTGTCCATAATGAGGATAACTGATTCAGAGGTGTTGTCCAAGTTAAAGTTACATACTTCTATCCAAAGATGGAGTGAAGGAGGACGTTGTGGGCAAGTGGTTGGAGAAGTAGGTTAGATCGATGGCCCAAGAACAGATGCTGAAGTGGAGTCCTATCTGTTCTTTGAGAGAAGAGCAAGAGACACAGATCTGGTCTAATAACTAAAGCCACTGACTAGGAAGCTTATTCTAAGCCCTAAATAATGCATTTTTCTTTCTTTTCATTGTTACTAGCAGTTTTAAAAAAATTTCCTCTTCAGTATGGATCTATCCTTAAGCATAGTTTGTGTGTGATTTAGGTAGCTGTTTACCAAAAATATGCTAATTACTTGAGGTGTTAAGATGTTACACTGTTGGTCTTTTTCTTTTAAAGCTTATATACTTTTGATATGCGCTTTCTTGCATCACCTGTGATGGTGCATATGGATCATGTGTCTGCTGTTCTTGATGTGGATTATTCACCCACTGGGAAAGAATTTGTGTCTGCCAGCTTTGATAAATCTATCCGCATTTTTCCTGTAGACAAAGGTCACAGCAGGTGAGTGATTTTTACACCTCTCTGTCTCATGCATCACTATGGCTTCCTTCCCTAGTCCTCAAAATTCTTAATTCAGTTAACATCTTCACCGAGGCATTCATTTTCCGTGAATATTACTATCTTATTCTGCACATAACTTGAGAGTGACAGCTCATGTAGTTGACAGACAATTTTGGACTATGCGTTAGAGTAAAACTTTCATTTAACAGGTAGCAATACTGATATTGCAATTTTGGATTAAAATTGCAGTGGAATCCTGTGGGTAAGATTTCTCAAACATGTTGCATGTTTGGCTTTTTTCTTCTGTTTCTTTCTGATGCAAAGATATCCGGAGGGAAGTATGTATTTGTAAAGAAACACTGGCTATTTATACAAGTGGAAGATTTGCTTCCTCTTCTGTAGTGTGAATATATGTATACGTCTTGATTTTAGTATTTTCCCTGTTAATACTCTGCACATTCATATTTTTGTTTTTCAGTTACCTCGTACTTTCCTTGACGTTATTGCTTTCCAACTAGATTCAGTATCAGTTCTGAATTATTGTTCTTAGATATAATCATTTCTATTTTACCAGGATGAATCCCATCTTATTTCCCTTTCTGTGTCTTTAATGTATTTAGTTCCTTTTGTACTGTATGTCTGTTATCACTGACGTTTGCAGTGTCTCACAAGATTGTAGCATTTTTTTTTTTTTAGGGGCTGTCTTCATCCTATATGGATGATTACTAAAGACATTACATGAGAAGCATGGTAGTACAGATTTTTTACGATCTGTTTGGGACATTTTTGTGATCTAATTCACTTCCATTTATTACTACCTTTTGTTCATGCTTTGTTAACCAGGTTTTGATTCATGTGACAGTACTTTGAGTACAGCTCAGTAGGAATTAGTTTTTCACGCAAGGTTTCATAAGGCAGTGTATTAAATATTTTGTTGAAGTTCAGATTGGATCTACTGTGTGGTCCATTATTATTTTTTTTTCAATTTGATGAAAATCAAAGCAAGTTATCGAGTCCATCTGGTATCATTTGTTCTTCATAACCCTGCCTTCATTATTCTGTCAGTCCTTCCATTTTTTCTTTACTCTTAACTTCATTTTACGTTTTTTTTAGTTGCCTTCCCTCCTCCTCTTGAAAAAAAAATGTTGCTGCTAGTTTAAATTTTACGCATTTCCTTTAGGATGTTGGAATAGTGATTGACGAAGAAATATATTTTTATTATTGATTGATGCAATTATCCAGTGTTCAGCATCACTGTTTGTATGCTCCTGTCCATCAGTAGAGATTGAGAGGGGTTTTGTCCATTTTCTTTGATAACTGACCTACAGATTGTTTCTGCTTTCTCCCTGTCTTGCAAAAATGTTTTAAGTAGAATTAAGTATTGTGGTTCCTTTGTGTTTTTTTTTTTAAGTCTTGTTTGTTAAGCAGCGTGAATAGCAAGCGCTTGTGTTCATTGGATTTTCCTTCCTGTGTAATAGTAATGTTTACAAAAGCACCTGATATGCAAAATTAAAGCACAGAGCTGCCATTGAGGGGAAACTGAGCAGACCCTGTGAAGCAACAGTGAAAGGCTTTAGCTGTTTATAGCAGATTGTTGACGAGTACTGTGGAAGGAAAAGAAACTTTTTGACAGCATGGTTGCCTTCAATCTAGTGACTTACAGATGAAGGACTTAGCTTCATAAAAGCTGACTAGATCATTCTAGGAAACATAAAATTCTTTAGAAGCTGTGCTTTCTTAGAATTACACTGTTGCAATTAATCCTATGAAATGTGGAAAGGGCTCCAAATGGAAGATCTGATGCCTCTTGGAAAACTGCTGAGGCATACGTAGGGGTGTCTGTAAGCAAGGATCCTGACTGTATGCCACTTACCTCAGACTTTTGATCCCTTATCAATTTGAAAAACTCTAAACTTTCAATGCTATTTTTTATTTTTAAAATAAAGTTCAAGATTTGGAAAATCAGTCCATTTTGGGGGAAAAGGAGAGAAGTCACAATGAAGAGTAACTGATCTATTATCGTATTCGTAAATGGATAGCTGGAGGTGAAATTCTTAGTGTTTTCTTCTGTAGTCCCATTCAGTAATGCTTGATCACTATAATAGCATATTAGTGAAAATTATTGTGGGTGTTTTATGAGTATGATACTGTATACCCTTGGTATGATGTTTGACAAAGAGTGGTTCATTAGCTACTTACTGTAATTTCTGAAAGCACTTTTTTAAAAAGCATCTTATTGCAGGTGGAATTTTATCAGTCTAACCAGTATATTGTATATGAATTTATAAAAATACCTATCTGTAGACATATATATCAGTGTAATGCATAAATATAACTAGATATAATCTAAGATCTAGCACCTTGTTTGAAAGAGTCAGAATATTTTTTAAAAAGTCAGAAAAATATATATTCTAGTTTGAACAGAAAACTTTGTGCTATGTGAAAGGTAATATTAGGAAAAGCAATTCTAAAAAAATTTAAAATATTTTTCTTTGCTTTAGGGAGATATATCATACAAAACGAATGCAGCATGTCATCACTGTAAAATGGACTTCAGATAATAAATACATTCTGTGTGGCTCAGATGAGATGAATATTCGTCTTTGGAAGGCTAATGCTTCTGAAAAACTGGGAGTGGTAAGAGACTTGTTTTTGGTTATTGTTATCACATGGCAGGCTGTGTTTTAGGGTTTTTTATTACAACCGTTTAACCTATTAAGCATCTAAAATCTTCTATTTCTAAAGAGAAAATGTAAAATTGTAGTTTGAAATTTTAGCTAGAAAACTAACATGCCTGCATATATAACATAATAGAGTTCATGTTGCAGCTACTGCAGTTTTTAATATTAAGCTGATGACAACTTACATTCCTCATTGCTATGCAAGGTGATTTTTGTTGTTGTTTATAATTATCAATTTAAACTAAACTAGACTCGAGTTTTCTGTATGTGTGCAACGGGTGAGAATTCACCCCTTTGCACTAGTGAGAAAGCAATAAATTCCGGTATGCCATACACAAGTGATTCTACTGAAGTGTAGGCTCACTACTTTTAAAAATGTTCTGTGACTGACATGTAACTGGTACTTGCCCAGTTCGTGCTGTGATAAGCACGTGCATGGTAAAATAGAGCGTTTGCTCTGATGCATAACCAGGACTGTCATTAACCTGTATAACTCTCAAATACCGACAGGGCAAATTGATACAGGGTTTTAAGTCCATTTAATTCAATGTAAGTCAGTTTGGTTCAAGCGTTTCTAGTAGTAGACCTCAGTCTAATAGATGCCTTTTTTTTCAGTTACACCTGTTCAAATGTTGGTGTATAGACAAAGCCAGGATATGCTATTACAGTTGTCACTTGCATGTATCCGTCAACACAGTCCTGTTAAAAAGTACTGAATAACTTTGGAGAATGAATTTGACGCTTCGCCCCCTGGGAGTAATCACTTTACATAGCTTTATATTGTTAGGGCATTTTGGAGATGCTTACAATGCTGCTTCTGAGCCCATCAGCATAGCTGTCAAATAGTGCTTTGAATTCCTCTTGAAGAGGAATTCCTACTTGATCTTGTAAAAGACTGAGGGGGGAGGAGTAGGAAGCTGTAGTTCGGGGATGTCAAATAGTGCTTTGAATTCCTCTTGCGGGGGAGGACGCTGTACGGTTAAGGGCCCAGATCCGTTCTACGGTTATGTCTAGGGCTGCTAGTAGTTATTTAAAGCTCTGTTAAGTGATAGTATCTACATAGGAGGGAAAGGGGATGGAGCTGGGATAGGTGACAGGTGAATGAGAGTGGTACTAGGGCTACAATGTGGAATGGGAAAAGCCGTGGACTGTGAAGGGCTTAATAAGGGAATGTTAATAAGGGAAAGCACAGCTAAAACAATGTGTGTATCTGTAGCTGTGGCCCACCATAGGTATTTGAAAGTCCTATTGTTTTTCTTATCCTTGCTGTAGAGCTAGAGATAAAAAATCTTTCTAGCCTATACAGTATCTGTGGTTGAAAACTACTATTTCAAGTTGAATTACTTTAAAGTATTGTCGTCTTTTTTGTGTTTATAGTGCTATCTCTTTCTGTTCTGAACTGATCTGTGGGATTTATCCATGAGTGCTTCAGTCAAACATTTAACAATCATCCCCTTACCTGCTAATTCCACAGATTCTACAATGTTCACTATGGACTTTGCTTTTGGATTCAATTTTTATGTTGAATTTGCTGAGGTGGTGCAGCACTGGGCAGAAATACCACCTATTTGCTTGTTGGTGTATCCATATAATTACTGGAACACCCTTTTCATCTGTCTAAAACTCTTTATTCACCATCCTCGTTACCTCGTGTAAAGGACAAGGTGCTAAGCAAATTATCTAAAACATCATTTTCGTATAGGATGATTGCTAATGTTTTAGTGTGTAAGCAGAAAATTCATTCTGTTGACTACTAGATGGCATTGGCTTCTTTTTTATGAAAGAATAAATATACTTAGAATTGGGAAGTAATGAGCAAAACCAATTACTTCTGTAAAGTATAAATATTGCATACCAGAAGGACTACTTAGCTACTGGTTCAAGTATTCAAAAAGTAGAATGGTAAATGTCATTCTGCTCTTTTCTGTAGTATTTGCCTCACTAACGGTTGCCTGGGGATGGCTCCAAAAAGACACTGCCAGTCCTGACTGTAGGTTATTTGCTGTGGTCTGCAGATGAGCACTCTTGTGGTCCTTGACCTCTCAGTGGATCCTACACAAAATAGCCTGCCCATGTTTTTCTAGTTTTTCAGTACGTTGCTACTGCTTGACGTGCCTCTTGGAGGTTGTGCGTAGGATTCAGTTCTGCTAATATGAGATCATACTAATACAGCTTTTGTAGCATGCATGTGTGTAAGGTTTTGTTAAGCATTTCTGATGAAGACTTTGAGCCCTCAAATCCCAAGGAGACTGAGTTGAGTTACCTATACCATTTAGGTCTGCTGTCGCTTTTGGTCTGTTTTCTGATTATCAGAAATGAAAGTCATCCCATCATCTAGAACACTCTATGCAGCTTGTCATCCTAGCTCAAAAAGAAGAAAAAGAAAAAAAAAAAAAGAAAAACACCCTAGCAAAATAAAAGTCATCTTAAGAAACCAAAAATAAGGAACCAAAAGAAGTATGGGAAGAGCTTTCAAGGGTTCCAGAAAAACTGAATTGGAAGTTTCTGCTCCCTAATTTCACATGGACAGCATTAATGAACGTGGAAAGAATTATGTTAAAATTAAGAGCAAATAATGTTTCACAGCCTCATATCTTTCCTGGAAATGTGTTTAACACATGATGCTATTGAGGCCATGAATTTAGCAAGACATAGAATTTGCAAGTGTCCAGAGCTGCTGTAGTTACTATAAAAATATTTTTGGAAGCACTATGAAATTCAGTTTTTCAGGTGTTCAGAAAGTAATTGTTGCTGCTAGGGATTAGGGTGGAATCTTGAGAGCTTCTAAGATTCCTGAATATACCTTGGAAATGTCACTTGGATTCAGCCAACTGTGCCAATACCTTCTTTGATCCAGCCTTGTAGTTCCTGTGGTTCTTAATGTTGTAAGTGTTAATGCCTGTTTACCAGGTTCCACTGGTTTTCTTTAGCACAAGCTTTTTATTTTTTAGAGGACTGGTGTTCTTATCTTTATAGACATGTGCTTGCTCATTTTATAACTGTCCAGTTCTTCCACTGTTTTTTGAACATTTTCAACTTGCAAAGCAGAACATTCAGTAATTCTGTTGCAAGTGTCAGAATAGGTCTTAAATGCTTAGTTGCTTGGATCTGCTATTTTCCTTAGCTGAGAAGATTTGATTGAATGACTCATCCAAAGGTCACTATATTCCTAATAAAATGCCAACATCTTGTAATACATTGTATTTCAAGATGGATATTTTTGGGCTGGGGGTGGGTGGTGGCCAGCATCCTGAAAGAGAAAAATAAAAATGCTAATCAAAAATTTTTTTCTTTGGTGAGCACTTAGTCTTACTTGTTTTCAAGATTGCTGGGTTCCAAGGAAGTTAGACTGAATACAGTACTTATGTTGCGACTTCAGACTGATGAATAGTTACGCAGTAGGAAAGTTGTGCTTTCTGAACTGTAGTTACCCAAGCAGTCATCAGTTCTGACATGAATGTTTCCTTTGGTTTATTAATGTATTTGGCATTGCACTCATTATTTAAAATCAGTGAAACATTAAAGTAAGAATCAAAGTCTCTGGAGGAGCCAGAGGCGTGCTGTGTCTCTACTCCACTGGCAGTTAAATCTGCATGGGTTTTATGTAGGGGTAACACAAACTAAATCTTTTTGTTGGGGCTACTGCAGAGGTTACTTTAAAACAATTTAGTGTTTAGATGTTTTCTTAAATAAAAGTTCAGCTTTTTTCAGTAACATCACGAAGGTAAACAGGACTTCATAGGTTTTCTTTTTAAAGTAGTAAGTCTGTAGCTCTGCATATGTAAACAAGAAAGACGGGAATAAATAAAGACTAAGACACTACTCCAGACAGTTTATTTATTACACGTAATAAATGTATATTTACATTTACATTTTATTGTGATCTTGGAGAGGTTTGGGACTTCTAAAAGGGTGGGGGGGGGAAATGCCTTTGCCTTGTGAGGAAAAGGGGGGAAAAAAGAGCTTCATATGAGTGAAAAGGCAGGAGAAACAGCATTAACAGAATAGGTTTCAGCTAATAAAATAGAATTCATCTAATTAATAAAAAGAAAGGGCTATATTGGGTTTTTATGAATAGCAATGAGCCATCAGCAAAACTGCAGAAAGCTGTATTCTTCAAAATATTAACACACGCAGTTTTCTGCACCTGCAGTTCTTACAGTGTAAATGCTTAGTAGCATGACTTCTGTGAGTAACAGCTACACAATTTGGTTCTGTTACCTTTCCAAAGAACTTCAGGATTAGAGCAGAATACTGGACAACTGAAGGAGAAAATCTTCTTCCTATGTTTTACGCTTACTGAAATACAAAAGATTTGTAAGTATGAGAAGTAAGTATAACAGTAGTGGAACACAGGTTTGCTGTTTTCCTACACGATGCAGACCTAATGGCCTTGTAGTTTCATCCAGTCTTTAACTCAAAGCCTTGTTTTTTGATCTAGCAAAGCGCCTTAGCAGGAGAGTATCAAAGCTGTCTAAGTAATTGTGTAGCCTTTCAGTCGTCTTCTAGTATAAAGTTACATTTTGTGACATAAGGCTGAAGCCTGGCAGTACCAGATATTGTGTGACATGGCATTCTTTTAGTAGTGCGTTGGGGGTTGTGGTTAAATGCACATGCGATTTCATCCCTTTAGCTATGAGTTTGTGCTCTTCACATTCACATGATTCTTCTTTTGTGTTCTCCATTCGGATAGATATAAAGAATCATTTTTGATTAAGGGAAATAATGAGTAATAAACTTCATAGCAATAAATTTAGAAATGAATTTTCAGGAGAGCAATGGAAAATTTTTAAATAAAGACCAATTATGATATGGAAAATTGCTGGGCTAGGTTTGCATTCTAAAAATATGTTGCATCTGTGCTTTATCTGACTTAACCTGGAAGGACAACCTGGGCAGGATAGATAACAGCCACTTCATATTCCTTTGTTGAATTGCAGCAGTCTAATACTGTGGAGTTTTTAAATACATGCGCAGTACAGATATAATCCATTTTAAAGGGAATATGATTTGTTAAAGGTGATTTTAGCTTTTCCATCAGGGCTCTGGAAAAATGCTTACCTTCGTTCTGCTTAGAGGAGGAAAAAAAAAACTAGCCTCTATCACCTGGAGGGAGGAAAAGGTGTAAACAGTTTACTCTAGGACATGTTTTCGTATTACTGATAAGTTGGGTGTATTTTACGGTTCTCTTTCTCCCTTTTTTTCATTCTAGATATTTGCTGTGAAATACTGCTTCAGTACTGGCACAAATAGCTGCCTTTCTGCCACCTAACCTCTGTCTTCCTTGTACAGGAAGTTGCGCATTCATTTTTGGAATGTTTTAAAAAAGGTCACACACATCTTTGAGTATATGTCTTGCACTCACGATATTGTATAAATCCCAATGTATTACATTGTAGAGTGTTCTAGTCATTATAAACATAGTCTTTAATCCTGCTAATTTGTGCTGAATTTACAGTCTTCTCCAGTACAAAGCACTGTGGGAAGTAATGCTGTTCTCTTCAGCTGTTTAGGTTGACCTTTGTAGAAGGACTTGCAAGAGAGAGATTGGAGTTCCTTGTGTTGTTGCAGTCTGCTTTTTTAGCTGTCTGGTATATTTGCTAAATAGATACTAACTTGTCATTTACACATGATTTTCTTTTACCGCTATATAGATAAGGGCACATCTAGCACTACGTTGTAAATGGGGCATTGACAATTTGCAATTGGACGGGAAGTGACCAGATAGGTGCGTTTTTACGCATTACATTGCATGTAAAAATGGAAACCGACTCAAACATAACCACTGCTCTATCTATATTAATTTTTTAAATAAGATATCCTGGATGTATCTTTAATTTACAGATTCACCTCTGTCTGCTGAATCATCAAGGTTACGCTAAATCAGCAGCAATTTGCTCTTCTTAAATTAAATTAAAGAAAAATCATTGCATTTAATTAAAATAAAAGCTCTTTAATTTAGAATATGTTGGCAGTTTTCTGCGGAGTGGGAGCACCTGGGACTTACTGAGGGTGAACCAGCTATTCAGGCTGGCTCAGTAGAGGAATTTGACTAAAGGGAGGAGGGAGTATAGTTTTAGTGGCTAGGATTGTAGAATTTATTCATTTGCAATTTGAGAGATTATGATAAAGGTAAGTAAAGTGGAAGGATTTACTTTATGAATAAAAGCGTATGGAGAAACAGAGGATAAGAATATATTGATACCTGAATAACAGTTTTCCGAGTGATGAGTTTAATTGCAGCTCTATGTCTGGTACCTGGTTTCTTTATTGTCTCAAAGGAGAAACTACTTTCCCATCTGTTTTATTAATATCTTGCTTTCAGACCGTTAATGGTATTTCAGAACTAAATTGAGTATGGTATATTTCATAAATTCTGAAAAAAAAAATTATGTATATTCCAGTGGAAGTCACTTTTGAAGGTGACCTCCAGAACAGAAAAGAAGTAGCCAATTGCTGCTAAAAAAGGCATGCTTCATAACGTGGATGGAATTTCCAAGCTTTTTTTGTTCTAAGAAAGTGTCTTTTTGTTGTTGTTTTTAATGTCAGAAATTCAGGTCTTGTCTACTCGTGACAGCTTCACAGAAAGTGAGAAATTAGTGAAATTGAGGCAGATGTAAAGGTGAATTAATAAAACTTGTATGAATTACTGATTTGTTTCTAAGACTTTAGGTGCAAGTAGTAGTGGCTGAGGGGGGAAGCAAAAGACTTGTGTCACTCTTTGGTAAGAATATGAAGGGGTTTTAGATGTCTGAAACACTAGAGTTAGAGATTCTGTTTGTAGGGAGAGGATAGGTTGTAGTAGATCTCTTGCTAATCTGAAAACCCCTAAATGGCTTGGGGGTAGAGGATTTTTTTTCTTAAAGATTCAGCATCACATGCTGCTTTGGTCTAAGACTGAACATGTGCTAGACTGTAATGCAACTGAAATCCCTGCAGATCTCCCCCAAATCCAATATACCTAGAACTTAACATTGCTCATGAAGCAGTGCATGCTTTAAACCAAAATACAACACATTGAGATTTTTCCTTCTGATATATAAGGACCAAAGGAACCATG